GGTAGTATATAACAAACTCTGTATTTTGAGTGGAAATGTTAGGGGGTCGTCTTATACGCCCAGTCGTCTTATACGCCGGCAAATACGGTATTCTTTTTTGGGGGAAGCCGCCTATTGTCCTCTCTAGCAGAGAGGTGTGGACAAGGAACCTGAAGGCAGAGCTGTGCACCCACTGTTAGTCCAGACAATGGTATCTGAAGCAACTTCCCCATTTATTATTATGTAAATCCTTACTGATAAGATAGTCTGCCTGTTACTGGAACTTGCTTGCCTAAGGGCTATGGGTGGATCCCAAACTGAATAAAAGGATGGCAGGTCTGAGCACAAGCAGAGTCCTTCTTCTTGGGATGGGCTCTTGCCTGGCCCCCCAATTTCCAAATTATTATCTCTTGTCTAGTATCTTTCAATTGTGTGCAGCCCTTTTTCCAGATCCTGAATCCTGAGCCACACGGGATGTGGGGGAAACAAACACATCTGGCATATACATACTTTTTCAAAGTTATTTTTGCTTTTATGAGTCCTTTGTATTTCCATATTCATTTTAGAATTAGTCTTATGGACGAAAGGGGCCACATGCTGACCTGACAAGCTCAGGAGAGGTCTGCATGGCAGTTTTGCAAACTCGGAGACCTAAAATAACCACAAAGGATGGTCTGAAATTAAACTTTAACTAAAAGCAGTTATGGTGAGCAGTTACATCCTAAGCCGATATCTTCACTGATAAGGTCAACCTTTACCACAATTGAGCCTATCTGTCTTTTTGCATCTATGATAACATGTCCTTGGGATGTCTGGGTAACTTGTGACTTCCCTGTATCTGGAGCCCCTGGGGCACAGCCAGGTGTGCTGGGCCCAGGATAGATACCACAGATTCCTTGTTAATTGTTCCTGTACCCACCTAAGTATGTGTCCATCATTTTACTTTTTATCCTATCCTAGATGTTTCCCCGCTTCGCTTAACCCCACCTCCTTAAATCTGTCACCAATGAACTTCATGTAACCC